CACTTACGTCGGAAGCTTTGAAGTTTCTGTCACCCTGGCCGCCATCTTCCTAGCCAGTCGATTACATATTTTTGCATAGAAAAATGGTGACACGTTGCACCGCTGAGTGGCCCTTCTGGTACTGATCTTTATTCTGTGGTTGTGTCATTATGTAATATACAGGTATATCCCCAAGGTTGGCAAGTAAATACAAATTTAAAACTGTATACACAAATTTAATGACGAAAAACTCGTACATAAACATCGAAATTCATTAAAAAAACTAACTCACTATGGTAAGAAATAACTGTAATACTTCTATATTGTGGTTTTTCACTTTTAAACAAGCTAATTTTGCGAAAATTCCGAGGAAAATTCATCAAATTCGTAACTCAATTTGATCAAAACTATGCGGGATGATGGCTTCCGGCGTTGCGTCACAAAATAAAGCTCTCTGATTCGCTGGGAAATTTCAGCCAGCCAATCGGAGAGTTTTTTTGAAACTTTTAACATTTTTAGAGCTTTACGTAACGCCGGGAGCAGTCATCCCGCATAGTTTTGACCAAATTGAGCCATTTTCCTCAGAATTTTCACGATTCTTCTTTTTTGAGAAGAAAAAAACACAATGTAGAAGAATTACAGTTATTTCTTACCATAGTGATTTAGTTTTTTATGTGAATTTCGATGTTTATGTACGAATTTTTTCGTCATTAAGTTTGTGTATACAGTTTTAAATTTGTATTTACTTGTCAACCTTGGGGATATATATTACATAATGACACAACGCTATTGTGATGTTGCACGTACTTCATGTAATACAAATTATAGAGGTTTTGCTGTACATTGAAGCATTGCATGTCAAAGCAATGCATCCCAAGGCAAATTGTATGGATTTTTTTTTAAATAAAAGACCTTTTCGGGAGACCTATGGTAAAATTAGTGGTGTTTTATACACTACAAACCTTGGCCAGGCACTATTTTTTTGAGACAGGCTCACATTGGCCAAGTTGTCCGCTGGTTGTCCGCTAATCTCTCACTGAGGACACACATTGCCATGAAAATGAGGCCCCGACCAGGGCCGAAAGTGTTTACATTTCCACAAGCCTCTGAGGCTTAGACCAGGTCTGTTAAGGCTATGCCATTTCCACAAGCCTAGGCCAAGGCTGGTAGTGTAAACACGACTATTGATTGCATCAGGGCGCATTACGACTAAGTGGTTAGTGTTTCCCGCAATATGGTAAAAAAGTATAGAGCTTGAAGGATTTCAAAGGTAAACCCTTCTAGAGTTTACTCTGTATATATGTGCCTGTTTATATGATAATGGCATGACTGGACAGTAGGTTTTAATACAGGATGGTGTGTTTAATATAGACGGAATACACCCCACCTGGCAGGGATGATAGAATACTTATATGAGAGTTTCTTGTCCTGGCAGGTGGGATCCTGTCTAGGATAGAAGTAGAATATTTAATTCACTTTAATTACTAAATAGTTGATAGAGTTCATATTGCATGCTGGATCATGCCGGCGGTGTCATAATATTTACAAAGTGGCTACAGTATGATGCTTGTGATGTTACTCTGAGTGTATATCCAGTCCACACCGGGCAAGCTTGAAAAATATGCCTGGCCACGGTCAGAATCGAACCTGAAACCTTTGGAATACTAACTAGCCCAATGCTCTGCCTACTGACTTACTGAGCTATGCGGTCAGATCGGTTCGAATATGTGAAATTTCGGAACAGAATCTAGTTCCTTCGATATCAAATGAATGTAATCGCAGGAACTAGAAAAATCATTACTGATTATTAGATTCATTGATATCGAAGGAACTAGATTCTGTTCTGAAATATCCCATATTCGAACCGATCTGACCGCGTAGCTCAGTTGGCAGAGCATTGGGCTAGTATTCCAAAAGTCGCAGGTTCTATTCCCACCGTGGTCAGGCATATTTTTTTAATTAATTAAGCTTGCCCGGTGTGGATAATTATACACTCAGAGTAACATCACAAGCATCATATTCCTTAGTACATTACACCAACACAGAAAAATCATTACTGGCTACAGTATATCTACAGGTCCTTAAACAGACTTTGTCAGGCTATTATAATTTACAGGCTTACAGCACTCTTATGTACTAAACCAGCACTATCAAATTTATTGTTTATGAAGGATTTCAGCGAGCTCAAAAATAGATCAGAAGGTTAGGCAGATGGCTGCTGTGCTGTAGTCTGTGGTTCGAACCCGAGTTGGGACAGGTTTTTGTTCACCTTAACTAAACATGTCTTTTTTTCTGATTAGTTTTATTTTTTAGGGGTAGAGGTTACGGTTAGTTTTCTTTGAATTTGACTTTAACTATAAATACAACCTGTGTGGAGACTAAGAATAAGAGTGCCATAAATATAGCCTGGCGAAATTTGTTTATGGGCCTGAAGATATAGCCACTTTGTAATAATTATTTTAAAAAGCAATTTAATTATAATTAAATGGATCAAATGATTGGATGATTACTACAGACTTTACAAAAACAGTCTAAGCTTACAACGGCATAAAACTAGTGTTCTTTTTACATGTGCATTCAAAGCTAGATGATCCACTTAGCCTTGAGAATAAAATGGTCTGGCATTAGACAGAGTACAATAATCTGGCATTTAAAAGACAGTAAAATAAGGAAGTAGGACACACAATGTACAATACAACTTAATGGGTTCATTAGACACATGGCCATATTAACCCACCAAAACAGGAATACTTCTCAAAAAGTTTGGAGGCCATTAAGATGGGGTGTTAACTGGATATTACACTTACACTAGGCTGGACATGCATAAGCTGCATTGTGCCACAACTTTATTGTTTTACTCTGTCCAATGGTTCGTTCCAGATATAAGATCCACTCTCCCCTATGCACAGAGGAAATTTCTACCATCTGGAGGGTAGGGGAGAAAAATTGTTTCTGATAATAGTAAGTGAATTAGGACATTCGAATTTCGAAGGGGATAGGAGGTTACAGTAACTTCCAATTTCCTTCATGGTGGAGGTATCAATGTTCTCTGGAATGACCCAATGTCAGATGATTTTACTTGTCAGTGATATCACTCAGTGGGTTACTGAAACAAGTAGCACTCCTCTCCAATGTAACTAAAGGATAAATCATAATCTTATGAATCTATTCAATGTTTTCTGGAATGAGCCAATAGCATATTAAATCACATATACCAACAACCAGTAGCAGATACCTCGCAAAATATTGGGGGTGCTGTTGAGATGTCTGTTAACAAATCCTATCTAGTGCATATTTCTCTTGTTAACCCATTCGCTGGCAATATGCTCTACTTTATATTACTCTGTCTAATGGCAGGAAATTTTACAGTTTTACTTGTTGAGAAGATAGCCTTGCAGCAGTTTCCAATTTGCCATGTATCGCCCACACAGAGAATACATTACTGGGGACGAGTCAGGGTAAAAGCCATACGAACCAAGGGTTATCAATTATGATAATACTAGAAACAACGTCAACCAAAGGTTGGGTTGTGCTACTAACTACATTTATTTAGGTCTTCCCATTCGTAATAAGGTGCAAAGTTTATAGGTTGGGTAGGAGGAAATTGCTCATATTGCTGCATGTGAACTGTGAACTTGTGCTATATACTGTAATGTTAACTGACTGTGGAGTTCCAGTACCGGTACATGAAATACATTATGTACAGCTAATGATAGTCTTGTATTTCCTTTCTTGTAGCTCATGTGACTAAACGTTTTGCGGGAGCAACAGCCTCATCAGTGAAAGCTGCCATGGCCCAAAAGTGCAAAGACAAAAGAAATGCTGATACGAAAAGAAGAAAAATTGCAAAAGACATTTGAACTGCTAAGTTTTTTCCTTTATTATAAATTATTTTGTATGTTAGATAAACATTTGTAGATATTAACTGTATAAATAAATTATTTAAACTTCCTACAGTATATATACCATCACTGCAGTATCTCACTGTTTGATAGGTTTAACTGTGCATGATTGAAGCTTTGCATAATTTCACATGTGAAACTGGAACATGTGATATCTCGCATGTGAAGTTTCACATGTCAACACATGTGAAATTATGTGTTTCACATGTGAAGTTTCTCATGTGAATTTGGAACATGTGAATTTGGAACATGTGACTTTTCACATGTGAACACATGTGAAATTATGTGTTTCACATGTGAAACTTCACATGTGAAATTTCACATGTGAATTTGGAACATGTGAATTTGGAACATGTGACTTTTCACATGTGAACACATGTGAAATTATGTGTTTCACATGTGAAGTTTCACATGAGAAATTTCACATGTGAATTTGGAACATGTGAATTTGGAACATGTGACTTTTCACATGTGAACACATGTGAAATTATGTGTTTCACATGTGAAGTTTCACATGTGAAATTTCACATGTGAATTTGGAACATGTGAATTTGGAACATGTGACTTTTCACATGTGAACACATGTGAAATTATGTGTTTCACATGTGAAACTTCACATGTGAAATTTCACATGTGAAGTTTCACATGTGAATTTGGAACATGTGAACATAATTTCACATGTGAAATTTCACATGTGAAAAATCACATGTTCCAAATTCACATGTGAAATTTCACACATGTGAAATCATGTGGAATTTTTGTAAGGGAGGAGTCTGCTGCCGTGATATAAACACTTTAATTAAGTTTCTATTTCATTTTATGTTATGTTATTGCAAAGCCTGATTATTGTTTCTTGATTATTTATTATACTGTAGAAGCATGAAAATATAAATAGTTGTCGAATAAAGTTCAATATTTTTAATACCAAAATGTAAACATAGGCTTTGTTTACATACGGACTGCACCCTACCTTTAAGAAGCTCAACAAATACACGATAACAAAACATGCATCTTTAATTCAATATAAACTTTATCACAATTTTAACAAGGTTAGGTCGATTTAAATGTGGAAATACTATGCATTGGTTAACAGCACATGTCTTAGAAATGCATCGACATCTAAGCAGTTTCGTGACTTTCGTCAGTACTATTTAAAATGATCCTACCAACAAATTCAACTGTTTCTAAATACAAATCTTTACCATTGGTGCTAGAGGTCGCTAATGGGTTAGTTTTATTTTGAAGTAGGTGAAGGTTAGCAGCAGACAGTGGACTCTGGACCCTAGGTACTGTTACCACTGAAGTTTCTGGCAGCTCTGCTGCCCAATCATCCGGAGTTGGGTCATTCAATTCACCACCATGAAAATATGTCCAGGGCATATAAACTGCAAACAACTGTAATGGAGTAGCTGATCCCTCTGACAAAATTTTGTGGTGGTTGTGAGCATTCATGTGGTTGGTTAATGCTCGATTAATGCGAGGTAGTTATACATAATGCAAGCAAAAGATATCTGTTTCGTTGTCCACATTGAGGTGACCCTCCAGTTCTAATTCTTCAAACACTTTCTTAAATGGTGACGTAATGGATACATTTAAGTCTCTATTATTTCTCTCTGCTCGCTGATTGTGGACTGACCTACCTGTGAACACAGGATTATTCTCGTCTCCATAGACATTGTACATTGTTGTCCAGATGCCAACGTGCTCTCCTCCATGATCTGTTCGCACATGCTTGGGCATACCAAACTCATTTGTTGCTTCATTGAACAGTTCTACAACAGTCTGAGATCTGTTATTATCTGAACACTGGAGAAATGTAATGAGCCTGGAATACCCATCAATTGCACAATGAATTACTAGTCTGTAACGGATTAGTTTATGATTGCCATCAATATGCCAAATAAAGTTTGGATGTGGAACCTCGTAAACTCTTCTCTTTATACCATTTGCTTTCCTCTCTTCAACACCTACAGGGTCAACTCTGTGAATTGCTTCTCGCAAACGTTTCCGTTGAACATCAATCCCTTTTGATCTCAGATGGCCCATTAACATAACCTCACCCATTTTGTGCTGATCTTGATAAATCTGTTTAATAGTGTTATCAAGTTCATTATCTGATATTATTGAGTATTTCTCTTTGTAGTCAATCCTATATTCATTCATCTTCTTGTACAAAGAGGTCCTGCATATACCAAGAACCTTTGCAATTTGTGCATATGAAAGTTTGAGAGCAAGAAGTTCAGTTATCATTTCTTTTGTCACATGGACGGAAGGTCTGCCCACTTGGTTCTATTGAAAACATTAATACGTTTGATCAGAGAGAATGTTAAATGACAATATTATTCCGTAAAACAAATTTAACAAGTGACACAGTGTTGCGTTTGACTGGTTTTTAACTTAATTTTTCGCGAGTCTAATGTCGAACTAATGTGAGTGTAATGTTGAACTAAGGAAACCAACTTAATTTCAGAAATAAACTTACCACTTCCATTGCCTCGTTCTCTTCGTCATCAATAACCGTGAGATATATGACATTTATAGTTACATTGAAATAGATACTCGTAAATAGCAAGCCTGTTTGCAGGCTATTAGGCATGGACCTTCGGGCTTAATAATTAACTTGAAGACTAAGACTATTATTGTACATGTGTTCGGAGTAATACAATATATAAATTTACAGTGGTGGCAGCGGTGATTCTCGCTTTAAATTGTCGGAAATGGCAGAAATAAAACAAGCCTGTTATGACGGTACGGGAGATGTAGATTTGTGGCTTATGAAAATGAAGTTCTATTGTTCTACAAAGAAATTTGAAGGTAAACAAGAAGCTCACGCCATAGCGAGTAAACTCGAGGGGGCGGCGTTTCTATGTATTGCGAGATTAGACGATGAACTTCAAGATGACCCAAAAGAAGTTAAAGCCGCTTTAAGGAAGGAATTCGACAAAGAATCGATCGACCACGAGAAAGCTGTCGACGAATTACGAGGTTTAAGGCGAAAAGGCGGTGAAACACCAGCACAGTTAGCGTGGAGAATTGAAAAGTTGATGGCGAAGGCTTACCCGGAGTTATGTGCGTCAACACACGGATCGGCAAAGAAAACAAAGGAACAAATGTTACAATCTATTAACTTGATAGAAGTAGATCTCAAGGGTCCATTACCGAGAACGAAAGAGGGATTTGACAATATTGTTGTGATAACAGATCCATGTACAAAATATGCAGAGATGCATCCAATTCGAGGACAGTACAAACCAGCCAAGTTGTTTGTAAGACACTCATGGGTTGGATATCAAGATATGGTTTACCAAACAAAGTACACTCTGACAATGGACCTTGTTTCATAAGCGAAACATTTGAACAGTTTTGCATAACCCAAGGCATTGAGCATACTTTCAGAGTTTCAGTCCACCCTATAGGCCACAAGGAAACGCGGGTGTAGAACGGATTAAACGTACGATGGGGGAAGCACTCACAAAATTGGTAGATAAACATCCCAACCGATGGTCTCAACACCTACCTGACGTACAACTAGCATACAACACAGCAGTTCATACAAGTACAGGAGTTTCGCCGTACGAACTAGTTTTCAAGGAGCACCCGCGATCAAAATTCGAAATTATAACAGAGAAGATATCACCAGCAACGGTTAGAGAGAAAACGGAACGACTGCGCGAGACTGTTAGTGAGGTATTCCAAAAAGCACATGCAAGAGTCCGATGCCAAGTTAGTGGAAAAACGCAGAGAACGGTACAACAGTAAAACTTCGTTTAAATCGTTGAGGGTGGGTCAACAAGTTTGGAAAAGAAATTTACGAGCAAAAACATTTGCAGATCGGTGGACGGGACCCTATGTCGTGATAAAGCCCACGTCGGTAACCAAAACATCTTATGTAGTGAGAAGGAATAATCGAACTAAAGAAGAAATTGTCCATTACAATTACCTTAAACCTTATCAGATTCGACCTGTCACAAAAACCAAAGTCGAGGAATCCACCAAATTAGAAGAATGGGGTCGGACACCCAGCACTGGGTACCAGTGAGGACAGTGAATCTGACAGCAGAGAAGAGGAAATGCAACCAGAGAGAAGATATCCGGAAAGAATTCGAAGACCTCCAGAGAAATACACATAATACTTTTAAAGGGGGGAGTGGTGTGATATATTGACATTTATGGTTACATTGAAATAGATACTCGTAAATAGCAAGCCTGTTTGCAGGCAATTAGGCATGGATCTTCGGGCTTAATAATTAACTTGAAGACTAAGACTATTATGTGTTCGGAGTAATACAATATATAAATTTACAACCGCAGTAATTAACTTTACCCTGGATTCCAGAGCCTTCGACAGTAAATAATAAATTGAAATGTCGCGAAGGCTCTGGTTCAACAGGGCGATTCTTTGATTAAGCCGCGCCAATCACAAAACAGAATTAGTGGTTTTAGTACAGAATCGCCCCGTTGAACCATTTGTTGCGACATTTCAATTTATTATTTACTGTCGAAGGCTCTGGAATCCAGGGTACAGTAACTTGTGTCGAACCATTGAAATGTGTCGAACCTGCCGCCATGTTTTATCGCGAAAGAACTGGCTGAAGAGTGAAAAGCTTCCGGTCGGTCGGGTGGGGACTGGGTTAAATAATAAATAATCACTTTTGGGGTTTTTGTTTATATAATAAACAATCACTTTGGGGGTTTTTGTTTATATAATAAACAATCACTTTGGGATTTTGTTTATATAATAAATAATCATTTTTTGAGTTTTTGTTTATATAGTAAATAATCACTTTTGAATTTTGTATATATAATAAATAATCACTTTTGGATTGTGTTTATATAGTAAATAATCACTTTTGGATTTTGTTTATATAATAAATAATCACTTTTGGATTGTGTTTATATAGTAAATAATCACTTCCACATTTTCTGTTTATTTGCTTAATAATCATTTTACTGTTCAATTTTGTAATAAATAATTTAAATTATTAGTAAATAATGAAAAAAACGAAGTGATATTACTTTAAATAATTTATGAACAAACGGCGCCCCATATTATTTTGTTTTGTATGGGCTTTTTTATAATGCAAAATTCAACACGAAACGCTTCGAAAAACGTTTTAAATGTTCGTTGAAATTAACTGCTTTTTGCCGATAAACTCTTCAACTTTAATTGCGACCAGCGAGCGAGCACCAGCGAGCGAGCTGGGAGCATCCTAATCTGTGTGTAGAAAATTTAAATATACCGCTGAGTTCGGATTAGCCCCGGCTCAAGATTCACCGATTCACCTCGGCTTGCATTCCATGTTTGGAACGTAACATATTTCCATATTTGGAAACCGCATGAAACGGTATTTCCGCCGCTGTTATGCCGCCCAGTGTTTTATTTACTCATCGATACTGATGCAATTTTATACATGTACCTTTAACTTTTGTTCACTGAAACTGTACATCAAATGAAGCTTAACTTAGCATCTACTAACTGTTGTAAGGCCCGGTTTAGACGCCGTGCTTTTCATGAGCCGAACTTAATTCATATTTTACTCGAGTAAAATAGCCGTACTTCCAATTTTGATTTAGACAGGCGTGCTTTTCATGAGCCGTACTCAGTGGCCGTACTTAATAATTTGCGCTGCTTCACTTCGAAACCTGGGGCGAGTGACATTTCATAATAAGAAAGAAAGGTTTATCACATACAATCTTGGCATTTCTGAGCGTCTACAGGTTTGCGGTTATTAAAAATTTCAAATGCTTATTACTACAAACATAGCATAATGCCTGGATATAATGTGTGGGAAAACGAGACCTATACTCTTAGGGCACTGGCGTAGACAGCTCGATAAGTGGGGAAGGGGGGCATATTCATATATTCACAGATCTTAAAGACAATCAATTTCAAAAGAAACTAATAATGTAGAACACGAATATATGAACATGTCCCCATCATCGAGCCCCCTACACCATTCACTGGCTTAGGGCGAGTTTTTCCACGTTATTCGAGATTTGTATTAGACTCGATATATTTACAAATTCTCATTACGTAATAATGTAGGGTCGGCTCCAGAGTAATAATGCCGACCTTTGCTCCTTTTGCCTTAAAATATGGCCAAATATCGCTATAAGCCTTAATTTCGCAACTTTTATGCAAATAATCTAACGAAAGGTGTATCCTTTGCTACAAATTGACGTATATAAAGAAAAGAAAGGGAAATTCTACCGCGAAATTTGCCGATAAGGCCCATTAAAATTGTTTTGTTTACGATTGTAAATTTAGGCGGGAAATTTCCCGTGTAGAAACCAGTGAACTCTAATAATAACTGGAAGGCTAACTCCTATCACGGGCAATAGGACAGGTGTAGTGTTGTTAAATAGAAAGTTAGAAATGGTATTGTACTTACTCATGTATTATAATTATGTTTAAAAGATCAGAATATTCATAACTTCTTATTTTGTTTCATAAATAGTTCTTTAATATTCGAAACAAATTCCATGTCTGCTTCGTCTGCCATCGCCATGTTTACTCGTCCCAATCTACATGCTGCACGGCATTGCCGCCCCTCCTGGCAAAATAATAAGCAAGCGAGAAAACTTAAGGAGAAATAAGAGGGTAGGAACATTGTGGGCGTGTCGTGGGCGTGTCATCGTTCTGGGCGAATCGGCTTTTGCAATCTTGTATCACATGACTAATTCAAATCGTCATAGGCGGGAAGCAGCATTACGTCATCCCTACGTCAAATAAAACGTTATAAAACGCGTCGAGGATACTTTTGTGCCATATATGGAAGTTATGGATACGTTTGTGGCATATATGGAAGTGTCACTGCATCCAGCTTATGAGAACGATGTTCCTACCCTCTTATTTTCTCCTTAATTTTTCTCGCTTGCGTATTATTTTGCCAGGAGGGGCGGCAATGCAGTGCAGCATGTAGATTGGGACGAGTAAACATGGCGATGGCCGACGAAGCAGATATGGAATTTGTTTCGAATATTAAAGAACTATTTATGAAACAAAATAAGAAGTTATGAATATTCTGATCTTTTAAACATAATTATAATACATGAGTAAGTACAATACCATTTCTAACTTTCTATTTAACAACACTACACCTGTCCTATTGCCCGTGCTCCTATGATGAAAGTCTATGATTCGTTGAAGCCGGCGCGCGGGAAAATCAGCTTTCAAAAGGACTAAGGAGAGTTTGGAGGAGTGAAAAAAATTCTGTCAAAAGTTTGTTTTCGAGCAGAAATATGCAAGAAAAACACTTTTCCCATGGGAATACAACAATGATTGGGATTTAAACCAAGTTTCCGATTAGTTCCGACTGTTTTACATCTCTTTGCAGCAAAACGTAAGGAATTTTGCTTTTGTATTTTGAAAAAATGACGAAAGTTTGGATGTGCCGAAGGAAATCTCGCCGTTCAACTCAAAAATATATACTATAAAACATTTTGACAGTCCCAAAACTTATGTTGTACTAAACCCCAGGTATTGTTATTGATCCTGAGCTTTTAGTCCTTGTTTTAGTCGCTCTTAAACATAAATAAATTTGCGTTTTTCAAGTGATGTTATTTTCGTCATCGGCATCTTGTTGGCCACTATGAGCACTTTGAATATGGCAATATTTTTGTCAATTTTCAAATGCTTTTTTTTCAACCTTAAAACGTTAAATGTTCTTGAAACTTCGCATACAGATGTATTTTGCATGGGTATAAAAAATTCCTGAGGTATGACGTCTCTATCTTAAACTTCCAAAAACTCAGAAAAAGCAGCCTAAAACGCGCGGTTTTTCTGACCGTTCATGCTTATGGCCGTGTTTTTTTGTATTTTTTTGCTAATACGTGATTTGTTTGCTTTGCGAATATTAAATTCATTTATAATACTAATGATATAAATTAAATTTGGTAGTATAACTAATATTTTGGGGCAAGATTTTTCTGATCGAAACTGTATATTTTGAAAAAAAAATGTAAAAAGGACTGGGTCTACCTACAAAAAAAGCTTCAAGCACGGCTTCAACTCCCCCCCTGACTTAGCCTTCCAGTTATTATTAGAGTTCACTGGTAGAAACACGCTTCTCGACCAATCAACGCTCGCGTACTATAAATGTTTTATATTATCATAATTTATGCATTTGGTACGGCTCATGTAAAGCACGGCAGTATAAATCAACATGTGCTTCAGCCGTGTAGCACGCCTGAACCAGGCGAACTTATTAATTTAGCCGTGCTTAATATTAAGTGCAGTGCTTAATTGATTTAGACGCCGTGCTTCTCATGTGCTCAGTATTAAGTTCGGCTCATGAAAAGCACGGCGTCTAAACCGGGCCTAAGTCTGTTATTGAAGACAGATTTAAATAATCAAAAAGATTAAGCATGTGCATGAGGATGTTGTGATGTATACAAAGAAACGTCTGTTGTTTGACAGTCATGTGCCGGGCTTTAATATTTATCTTTAATATTAAATTGCGCGTTGTCAATCGGTATTGTTATTGACACGTCATGCTATTCATAGAAGGCGACTTTGCGCCGTAGCGACGATATAATCACAAATGTAACTATTTGTAACTATTTGTAACTATTTGTTATGTAATTTGTAGCAAGTGACGTAATTGGATACCAATTAGTCAAGTTAATATTTTGATAAATTTATCTAAATTGGATATTCAGTGTAAATGGGCCGACTTCTATTATATAATGAACAATATTGGCCCATATATTATCGCCACTCCTTTGCATAAACTTGAAAAGTTGCTACTGTTTTTTATTTTGAATATATCAATAGACAATATGAAATAAAGTACCTTGTCATGTGCATGTTTATTTGACGCAAAATGTTATATAAAAAATAAAAAAAACCCCGACCGACCGACTTTTGGCAAAAGTAAAGGATGATTACCAACTATCTGGCCAAAACAGCGTGCGCCGGCGCGTTGTCATTAGTGACTAAAGTCTCCATTACTCGTACTTTGTAATGAAATAAACTTAAATCCTACAGGTAGCTCTCGAAAATAATTTTCATTTTTCTTCTAAAAAATATTAAAACAAGTTAACTTTCACATAGTCATCAGAATGAAAAGGAAAGCTGTACATGTTCAAGGCTAGCCTGCATGGCAGGCGGTCATTCTCGTACCCAGGGCGTTGACCGCGCGTAAGAAGGGCTCTGGGTACGAGAATGGGCAGGCGGTTTTAGGGACCACCTGTCATGCAGGCTAGTTCAAGGCCTTCAGGCGAAAAGTCATACATAAACTGTAAAAACAAACATACCCAGGCCTGTACTTCAAGATTTCTCACACTCTCTTTAAAATTTGAAAAAGGTGATTTATGACTTACTGTGTAAAAAGATGTCCAAGTTTTCGGTCATCATGTTTATTTAATATTTGCTTCCTTCACTCCTGCCGAAACAGCTATATTTTTTAGATCAGTGAGATGACGACCCATGCATAGCCGTACGCCCGTGATCACTTTAGACTTTGCTGTACCCTCGCCACAGGCTTCGCGCTCCGCGCATGGATGTATGATTTTAAGTTTAACCCAAAAAATTTAACCCGATTTTTAAAAAATTATCTTTTTGATTTCATCTTGCAATTCCACGCTAGTGATTTCCGCCATCTTGCCAAATTAAAGAAATGAAGCTATCCCGCATCGCAATTCCTTAATTTTCGACATATTTAGAAAATATTTCCTTTAAAAAATTTCCCCGTCATATTCCCGTGGGTAAAATTCAAAAAAAGAAATTCCCCCACCCTCTTTTTAAGTGGTAGAACAAAGTGTTATGATTTTCCCGACTCTGGGGAAGAATTTTGTTGCAATCTACGTGTATTCTCCCACAATATCCCGTGGTCAGCCCGGGGGTCGACCCCTCGGGGAAGCCGATGACAAGTGGATAAATAACAAGATAACTGTAATGCATTGTAGTATGCCAACCTTAAATATTGCGCTTGTTTTCATATGATACACGGAGATTTAACGTCATCCAAGTTAGAAAGAAGAGCCTCGCTATTGGGAATATAAACACAATTCCTTCGCTCAGACGGATTATTTAGAAAGCTAAAATGACAGCTTTCCATGCAATTTAAAAAAGGTAAACTTGGTATAGTAAAACACAAATCATAATGATGATCGCAACAATACAGCAATAACATGCTGTTTCTTTTCACAAAGTATCGCAGCCTGACTGACTCTTGTCGTTCGAAAGCTTCCATTTGGTTTAGTCACTAGTCAGAGAGATATTCACTCCTCGACACTAGCAACAGTCAATAAAGCCACGCGCGGAATTAGGCGCTCAATACCCATGATGCTTTGCGGCCTGCTGTCCAACCTCCTCTGCAAAATTTTGAAATTTTGGAGTTCACGCGACTTACGTTCACTCGCGCGTGCGTGTAATCCACGCATCCTACTCCTGGCACATGCGCATTACTTCGTTGATACTATAATTCTATAAAAGTAAAAAACTTTAACGAAGATACATTCGAAACATTCGAAGATACAGAATTAATTATCGACATATTTTCCTTTCATTTATGGCTTCCTCAACGACTTCAACAGTAGAAGTCGTAGAAACAGATGAAGTATATTTTGCAAAGCGAGCCGAAGTTCAGTTACAAATAGAAAATAATGAAATCAAAGCAGTAGATTTATACAGCTTGGCCCCACTGTTAGCAAGGTGGAGATCGAATGACACGTTTCCTGTGTGCCTTATGTGTCAAACATCTGTAGCGGAGGGAAAGTTTGGTCTTGGGCATTTAATCCCACATTCAATACTGAAACAATGTGAACTGAAGTACTTTGTAGACGTTAATCAAGGGAAAGAATTCAGCGTGTCCAGAATGGGATACAGAGCTTTTTGTTCCAAATGCGAGGGAAGATTTTCAGATCATGGTGAAGTTAATTTAAACCGTAGGTTTTTCAAGCCATTTTATGAGAACCAAGATGAAGCAATAGAAGTAGACGTACGTGATAAAGTAAACGGTAACTCGTGGTTGTATTTTTGCTTTATATCTATCGTGTGGCGATGTTTGTGCTTCAATCAATATGCCAAGGACGTACTTTTTACAGTAATACCTTAGAATGTCTGCGAGAGTTCCTTCTCAAATATCCTAATCATGATATTGACTCAAAAGTGGCTTTGTTTGTATTTGCCCCGAACAGCCAACTGGAGTCAAAGTGGAAAGAGGACAATGAAACATATAAACGTTTCTTTGATCGTACGTGTGCTGCAATTCGTGATTTTAGTCACTCAGACCATACGGCTGCATGGGTTAGAATGGGACCAATCCACATTTTGATGATCTACAACAGTGAAGATGGTGACTTGCATGGACCATTTGGTTTAACTAAAGAAGACCTGGATATAGCAAAACAGTTGTGTATCATTAATAATACAGATGACAAGATTTTTATTCCAAAGAAGCAGGATAGGTTCTTCCCCATGTCAGTGTATGATGACATTGTCAATATTGCAAAAAAGGCTTTGTCATCCACGCGTCGAGTCTCATCCAAGAAAACAGCAATAGACTCAACACTTCCACCAGTGCAGGCAACCCATTTGTTTCTCTTGCCACAATCTGTTAGTTATACTGATGGAAACTTCTCTATTCCTAAATCCCACTACCAAACAACATTTTCCCACGATCAACGTGGTCTGAAAATTGTGGGAGCACGTAGAAGTAAATCAAGTAATGGTGAAAAAATCATTTTTGTAGCTCTTGAAGGATCGATCAAATATGTTGATGATGATGGCAAGAACAAGACTGGACCACTTGCCATGGCTTTAAATGTGGGTGATAATGGAAAAGTTTCCTACTTGAAGGGAGTCAATATTCCTCCCAAAGAAAAAGTTTGTGGGCGGGACTTAAATGAAATACCCTATAAACAAGAGATTGAAAAAATAATGGTTGGATTGATAACAGACGGTGCTGCAAAGTGGTAGATGCTATAGGAAAACGAATGGATGAACTGACACTGGTTATTAAGTGAGTTACACCTGTTATATATTTCTTAACTTTAAACCTACACCATATACTGTATATGCCAGCACAATATGTTTTAGATGTTTAATTAATGGGCCTATTCCATAATGAACAAAATTTTGATCTATACAAAAATTTCGAAATGTTGTAAAATGCGGATAGTATAGCCCTGCGAAGTTTGCCGTTTTTCAGTCATTTTGTATTACGCAAGGGAAACTGTCACTGCTTTCTGAAAAAAGGTGTCAATTTCCTGCTCGTAATACAAAATGACTGAAAAATGGCAAACCGTTTGCAGGGCTATATTATCCGCATTTTACAACACCTCACAACGAAACTTCGGAATATTACTAATTTTGTGATGCTCTTTCAAGCTAGATCAAAATTTTGTTCATTAGGGACTAGGCCCATTCGCTTCATATAGGACCGTCAAATACTTTAGCTGCAAAATATTATAACACTACCAGTATGTATTATTCAGGGTTCGAAATAGCAGGCTGCCAATGGCCAATAGCAGGCCATATTTTAGAAATGGCAGGCAAAAACAAATTTGAACTGCCAAGTAAAAAAAAATGGCAGAGGTGAAATTCTATAGATATATTTCATTTCATTTGCTTAATACCACAACTCATATATACTGTACTAGATCATTTAGTCGACTAAATACGTTTATATTTGAAATGTAAATCCAAGTTTACTGTAGTAAAATCGACAAGTTTAAAAAGAATAAAAATGCATATGATGACAGCATTGATTTTTACAATATGACTCATGTGAGATATTGCAATTTTGGCAGTTCAATGAATAAAAATGTCAGGCTAAAATTTATTTTGAACTGCCGAAAAATTTAGATTAATTAACAGGCCATATTTTTTCTCTATTTCGAGCCCTGGTATTATTATACATAGTAGTCACTACATGTCTTCTGATTGGCCAGTAGCTTACAACTAAATACAGTATGGAAATCACACAACCTACACATTTGTAACTCTGTTATCCGCTAGCAGATTAACAAATACATGGAGAAGAACAAGAAAAAACAACATGATTTACATGAACGAACAGTGGTTTTTGTGAATGTTTTGCATTTTTATCGGAACGTTAGCAGATGAATGAGATTTTTAATATTTTCATTTTGTTATTGTGATATCTAAATCAAAAATCATTTTCACTGCTTTTTTTGAGAATCAAACATTGTTTTGTGTGACAAATCATTGTTTGTTGAAACAGTTATTAGAGTGAAGTTTATGTAATGAAACACTAAAAACACTTAGCCTATTGATATTACCAAATTAACAAGGTCTCAGTAAGTGTTATTTCAATCTCGCCTTTGGCTCGACTGATAGCACTTACCTCAACCTTGATATTTCCGAATATGGCAAAAACCTCTAACTGTTTATTATAAATGTTGACTTTTACTTTGATAAAATTTTAATGTTAAACTGTACTTGAAATATACTGTACATGGCACTGCTAGAATATCACTTTATTTTAATCCATTTAACTTTTAAAGAATCACAGTCAACCATGATGCTTCCCACGCTATATGAATGTTTACTGCTAAAAATAGTGTTGCTTTGGAAAATAGTCATAAACTAAAAATGATATGCATTAGTTTTATTATAAACAAAGAAACTTTAAAACATTTTTACATGAGACCAGTATGAAAATCGCAAATTTTTAAAATTTATTCCCTTTGCCAGGCAATTTTCTTTGTTACTGTAGATGGATTTTGTTAGCATGTGTTGTTCCAATGTCAAGGTTACAGCTGAGACCGGTTTGAAATGTATTTATGTTTACATTCATTCCAGTCTGAATTCATGCTGGTCCAGCAGGCAGAACGACTTGAGACCAGTCTGAGTTATTTTCATCCCCGTCTCATGAAAACAGCTATTATCAATAATACTATATGACTGAAACGAAGTGGCCCTGATTTGACTTTGTTCCGTTCTCATGTAAACAGGACCTAACACACCTTCAGCCTACATTTGATTGCAAATTATTGACTCCAATCCTAGTGTCCTCCAGTTGATGGTTGAGAGTATATAACAAGTCAAAGCTGTTATTAATTCACTGTCACACATGTAACTTCCTTTTGAAACTGCAACCTAAAGCTAGGGTTACACATGCAATTTTTTTGTGTGTGGGCAATGCAAGCAGTCAAATTTGATCATATTTCCTGCGCCAAGAGAAGTGACAAGACATGCAATGATTTTTTTGGCTAGTATATGTAAAAAGTGCATTCATGATTTATGCACACATGATTTCATGATTTTTCAACAAAATTTAGCACTCTTAATTTTAGACACATGCGTGTTTAAAAGTTTGATTATTGTGAAGTGTGATCACTGTGATCACAAAAATATTATGTTGCAGGGTGCGATAATTCAATATTTTTAGCCGTACCTGACTGGTACTCCGACAACTTTTGCCGCGTACCTGGTCTGGTACAAACTTAAGAGTCAAGACGTACCTAAGACTACTTCCGAGTCATGCGTTTTTATACCTACGTATAGTTTACTGGTTCAAAAGCAAAAAAATGTATGGGCAATTTTGTACAAATGAATCTTTAATTATGGTATTTGTACAACATAATATAACAGTATACAAGGCGTCGACGTTGTGACTCGAATGCCATCGCTCATGTACAGTGGATTTACCGTGGGTGCTAACAGTCTGACCTCAGCTACATACTGTGTAGTTTTCCTCATTGCATGGGCCTAAAAAAAACCCTGTGGTTCCGGTTTCATATCGCGAAAAAATTAGGCTAGGTAGGTCGGAAATAAATTTTTTTTAAATATTTTTTTCATGGTTTTAGCGGTTTTTTGCTGGGCGTTTTTCAGTAGAGTCCCGACATCAATATTAACTAGAGATGCGTAGTTCCTACGGACGAATTTAGGCAATTTGTTTCAATAATTATTGTGACATCAGACGCCATTTTGGCACGCTGTACGAGCATCCCGTAACCACCCGGAGAAAATAGGGTCGCATGGTCAATCGTGTTGAAAAAATAATAGGGTGGGCAGTAGAAAAAATAGGGTCGGTCGGGAAACCGGAACCACAAGTATTTTATTTTTAGGCCTTGGTATAGCATTGACAATTAAGCCCAGGTCACACTACACAACGATAACGACACGATAACTTGTAAACACGCGATGATTGGTAACAAAAATTATGTTGGTGTCCAAACTACAACAAAAACGATAAAATTATCGGCGTTTGACGATAACGATTTTAAAATCGCTCACCCGAGCGATTTTTTTTCAGTCGGACGATGACGATAAATTTTTTGATCAAGCGCAAAGATAACCTTTTGGCTTTTTCATCCCAAAATATGTCGGATGCGTGGAATTTACATGTACAGCTAAAGTTCTTCACGGTTTTGAATACTTTGGCAGGTCTGCTAGTTATTGCTAGAAAGAAAATGTAAGTACGCGAATAGCAAATTTTCGCGTACCTACGTGGTACTTGCCTAAAAACAAAGAAGTACCAGACCATAAATTTGGCGTACCTCCGGTACGTTGGTACGCGAATTATCGCACCCTGACTGTTGTCAATATAGACTGCCTAAAATTCCTAACATTTGTTTAATTTAAACATGTATGAATTTGTAGTTATTCTTTGAACTTATTAAAACAACAACATTTTAGAAATTAATTGATTTTGCCAGGTGTTGACTGTTGTGGGTAAACCTGGATGTCTTTTACTAGTGTACCAGTTGGTTTAGTCACCCCCAAATCATTTCTTCACTTGTTAGCCAGTTCTTGTCTCAACAGAATATGATACACATGTCATCCAATCTCGTACCCAGAGCAATGCCTGTGAGCGGGTTAGGAAGGCATTGGCTCTGGGGAAATTGACAACCGGAACCCCTAAATTTAGGGGTTCCGGTTGTTTGTCGGCATGCATGATTGATAAACGTTAAACCAATCACAGCACAGGAAAAATTCAATTTCCCCAGAGCCAATGCCATCCTAGCCCGCGCACAGGCATTGCTCTGGGTACGAGATTCCATGTCATCCAATTTCTCAATTTGACCCATTGCGTTGCCGGTGTCACAGGAAATTTGGCCCCCCGAAAATTTCCCCCCCCCTGCCAAATTTCCTAGGAAATTTGCCCCCCCCCCTGGAAATATTTCCTAGGAAATATGGCCCCCTCTTCGGAAATTTGGCCGCCTCTAAAAAAATATAGTCTACTTTATCTTTTAGCTCGGAAATCGTGAAGCTTCTACTACAACCAAATTTCTAGAAATTTTTCTCAACATTTATAGTTAGTTTGCGTAATTTTTTTGTGTCAAAACAAAATTCTGCACTGAATTGCAATACTGACGAGAATTAGGCTTACAACACTGACGGATGTTATGTAGCTGCATGTAACCTTTGTTTAGGAAAGGGTTTTTTTACGAAATAACCACTCATTTGATTTTGTTTTTCGAACAAACGTACGTTTCCATCTAAAAGTCTACTTTTACCCCGATGTTAATTACTCCCTGTTACTTATTAGACGCGTGCATATTAACATATTCCATTGTCATCGTTTGCTAAAGTGCAGTTGTTATTCTGACTAATTTTATACTATGTGACTGAATTTTATAGATCCAAATAACTTGTAATATCTTAGAAATTCCTATCTCTAAAAATCGTTTCGTGTCCTTAATTAGCTTAAAGCTAAGCCATTATGCTTTAACGTTGTCCTCAACAGATACCCATGTGTGATGTGTCTGGCATGACTGCACTAGCACATTGTTATTATTACACTTTCCTTCAAACTTTTAGTTCTTGGCCGCAATGAAGAATTTCGACACGGATAAATTGTACAAACCAACTATAAATACTGACAAACACTTTTAGGATCTTGGTTTTAGAAGAAGCTTCACGATTTCCGAGCTTATAGCGATAAAGTAAACTATGTTTTCGAGGGGGGCAAATTTCCGAAGGGGTGGGGGGCATAATTCCTAAGAAATATGGCCCCCAAGGGGGGGGGCAAAGTTTTGGGGGGGGGCAAATTTCCTGGGACACCAGTGTGAAAATAAATTGCACGTGTAACCTAGGCTTAAAGAACAGGATTTAAGACAGCCTTACATGTGGGGATTTATATAAAGATAGCGTTACATGTGGGGAATTACATAAGACAGGCTTACATCGATTTTATTGAAATGGTTTTTTTGTCCTTTTTGTTTTTCAGCGGTCTGTAGTATATACTGTATTGTTGGTTTCCAATCGCTCAAGAACCAATCAAAATGCTGCGTTTTGTTGATGGACTGCACAGCCATAAAGTGAGTTATCAACACCAGTGAATTTGAAATTGACTTTGAAGTACAGGGCAAGATATTTGTTTCTTTTATCTGCCTAATAGTTAGCCTTTTCATATCGTACCAAATTTAATTAAAGGAATCACGCACGATAGATTTTTATTGAACTTTTACAATAGCTGCAGAGCATCATGCTCTATTGATATATATATTAAATAAAATTGATAGGTCACCGACTATGCTGACAGTACCAAAGTTACATTTTATAACAAATTTACATCCGAGATAGAAAAAATGTTTACAATAATAACCCACCTTTTCAAAAAAATCCGAAAGTTCCCTGCAATGAACCACACTTTGTTGTGAATTCCCTGTGTGCGCGTATATTCCCTTGTTTGGGGGAAGAAACGTTAGGTAGATAGCAATTATTCTTAGGTAAAGCAATAGGCAATTCCAGCTTTTAATTTATGCGCACAGGGGGTGATGGGAAGTAAGGTATCATATTGCTGATTATGCTAAAAAAATTTAATAGAATCTGCCGAAACAACAGAAATATTTCAATATTTACAAGTATAAGCTATCACTCCGTGTCTACACGGCCACCATTTTTATTTTTTCAGTATGCAATAAGCAACATGATACCATACTTCTCATCACTCCCTGCACGCATAAACTAAAAGCTGGAATTGCCTATTGAATTATGTTGAAGTATATACAACAGTCCCTATACCTTGTATCACAGTATCCCTCAGTTTTAGCAGTATACATACTACATAAATCCTCCTTACTTGACCGCTGTCAAAGTGTTTCAAAACACGAGTCAAGAACAGTCCCAGATTACATATCTGTTCGCTTGAAGCTTGCAAATTGCGACATGGGACCTAGCCTCCTGCGCAGACGTTGTTAGTGGCCGAGGCCTCACATAACGTCTGCTCACATTCGCTATACATTTGACTTCCCGACAATTAACCAATCACAATCATCTACACGATAATTGGAAGATCGGTCTTCAATGACCTTCACACGCATGGGTTATTATCACTCTGTGCTATTATATATCAACAAGTCTGTAGTATTTTTAAATTTGGAAGTTTTAACACTGCGCATCAGAAAAAGACTTTTCAGTCTATTATAAACGAAAAGAAGGATGTTTTCGTAAATCTCACAACTGACGCAGGAAATCACTTATTTATCACGCCGTTACCGAAGCTATTCGAT